TAGATAATAGTGCCTGGACTCGTCTGAAAAGGCGTTCTCAGCGGCCGGTTTATATACTCCGGATTCCACAGCTGGATATGCTTAGCCCGCGCTTTTCGACAATAACATGTTGTTGCGTAGTCGTTCGATAACCTCAGGCATTTGGCCCCTGATATCCGGGTCTTGGTAAATGCGCGCGTAGGAGGTGTTCTATTGGCGATTGGCGTGTTACATTAATATTCCGGATATTCAAATGTACGTTGTGTCGTGGTTTCCTTGTACAATATTCGAGTTTAAACTACGACCCGAGGTGTGAACTACCTATTATTGGACTGCAGGCTTTTTACTTATGCTGTATAATATGATATACTATCCGGGAGTGAGCTGACGCCCGTAACACCGAAGATACGGTGATTACCGTTACACCGATGATACGGGTAATTACCGTTAATACCAAATTTTCGGTACACCGTTTATAACTGGTTTTATGCAAATACCGAATACCGGTATAGGAAATTTCAAATATATAACCTTCTTAGAGCAGTATCGGGTTTGGATCAACAGTTAAAAGCACTTAAGGTTGGTGACGGTTACCGAAATTACCTCCGATTTTGTAAAATTTGTTTTACTTTTTAATGACCATCCTAAGAAGCTGATACTAATCCATAGCCCAAAATACATTTTATAGAAGAGATGTGACGTTTGAGATCGAAAAGCCGATCGAAAAACTTTAGGAAATTTGACGGATTTTAATTATGAAAAGTATTTATAATTCATTATTTGGGGGTCCCTTACTATGGGATACGAGGGAATTATTTATTTAAATTTAATTTTGTTTGTCGTAAGTAAAATGGAAACATACTTTGTGTACGTTTTTGAAAATTGTTAAAAAAAATACAATCAAATTCGTTTGAGACTTCCAGTGAATCAATCGAATTTCTATTTCCCGCGTATCCGTATGGTAGAATATAATCCGGAACGTACGAACAATCGTAATCCGTTTCCAAAATCGAAACCCGCCGGACGGAATTCCCGTACAATTTCGTCCGGTCTAAATCTCCAAAAATATTGGCAGTCACGTAATTATTTCGTTATCGTTGCGGGAAATCGCGTCGTCGATGACATTATGATAAATTCGCGATCGAAACGATCGAAATAGGACTCGGTGTGTGTGTCTGCGGCTCGTTTCCAGTACAATAGAATAATATACGTACGGGTGCGTGCGCTATTATATCGCATTATCATTGTCATCGTCTGTTATCCCATGTAATATAATGATAATGATAATAACGATAATAACGATATTATACCATATCGGTCGAACGGACAATATAATAATTGCAATTTAAATACACGCATGTGCTCCCGCGCGTGTATAATGTTGTAATGTTTTTTTATTATTTTTTTTTTTTTTTTCAACGGCCGGCGCCGGTCACGACGTTATCTGGATCTCACGTTTCGGGAGCGAATCGGTCACGATCCCCGTGATAATCTCGCGCGGAGCTTTATTATATATGTTATTATTCCGTCTTTCGAATCGATCCGCTGCCGCGGACGATGTTATTATACGCGTCATTATCATTTATAATCCGAACGTATTACAATAATACAACGTATAACGGTGCGGGCATGGATTTTCGTCATCGTTATCACGCGGGCGTATACAGTCGCACAAGACGCGGGAGACGATGCTGCACGCTGTATACTGTAGTGTATGCACACTGTACGTGCACGTACATGTTTATGCGGTTCCGCGGTCCGGGGGTTGCGACGGAGAGCGGGGGAAAAAAAAGCCGTCCTAGGATAATGGAGACGGGCGTGGCCGCCGTTACTGATTTCCTTCTGGGAAAAGTGCTCTCGTTGAAAATCGGAGCCAGATTGCTGGTAGAAAATAATAGGCCGTAGTATTTTACTATACATTCGTACATTTTCCTCAGTTATTTTTCCATTTATCGAGAGAACTCCTGGAAAAATCCGAAAATTGCCTCCTCAAAGTACCTCCCCGGTAAGATTTTTGATTTCAGAAACAGCGCTACACTTGTAAACCGGAACATGATGTCTGGTGGAAAAGTTGTTCACAGATAAAAAAAAAAAAAACAATCATTGTAAAACCAATACGGTCCTGTCTCCGCCCAGAGGCTAAAAGAGACGAAACGACAGGGGCAGAAATGTCGAGGTGCACTGGTGTCGGTCGACCGTGCACGGTTACGGATGCGATTACACGCGAGAACGGGACGGATATAAGAGCAGTTCCTGGGGTCGTAGCGCGTGTTTATAACTGGGAGTAATCGACCGAGGACGGGACTGATGCGGTTATCATCGGAAAAACACGGAGGCGCGAGTGAAACATGCGACGAGGAAATCGCGATGGATATACGGGGACGCGGGAGTCTGGCCCCGCGCGCGTGATGGTACGCACAAGGGTGCGGAAGAACGCGAGGCGGTTAAAACGTGACCGAAAATGCGTTTTGTTCGGGATTTATTGCAAAAAAAAAAAAAAAAAAAAGAATGAAAACAAAAAAAGAAAACCTAGGAAAAGACCTAGGAACCGATGAACCGCATACGCGTGGTTTTGTTGTGGATTCGCCGCGGTGTGCTGCACCAGTCGTCCGTTTGGTTTTTAGAAGAACGCGGCGTATCGCTAGGCGCGGAAATCGCCCCGGGGTCGCCGTGAACGGGCCGACCCGCACAACGCCCGCACGCGTATAATTGCCGGGTCGCGAACGTTACACGGCCGAACGCGTAACGTTACAATCCGTAACACCTCGGGAACGGCGCCGCGACCGCGCGGATTCGGATCCGCGCGTGCACAAAATTAATGGCCTCCACCCCTACTCTTCTCATCCGTTTCTTGAAAACCGAAAAATCGACCGATTGTAAAATTAATTTCTCTGAGCATTAAAACGCGCTTTGGAATTTTGAGTTTTTTACCCCGCAAAATAACGTCTACGTAAATAAAACACATGGGTATGTATTATTTACAAATTAATAATTGGTGGCGATTTTTAATTTATTTATTGATATCAAGTGTACGTAATAATAAAATAAAAAACACAAATGAACACACCATACATTTAGAGTCAGTCAGAAACTTGTCTTGGCGATACGGATGGAATAAAAACACAAAATAATTGGCCCCAGCAACGCCGGACGGGACAGCTAGTAAATAACGCACTTGTGCAAAATTTTGACAAAAATCGTAAAAGTTACGACATTTCAAAACATGTATGTAACCGAACTTCGCTCAGAATCGCATTTCGTTGGCAGTGGTTTATCGTTGTTTACATATATATATATATATATATTAAATAGCATTATCCTTCATTTCCAACTCCCCGTCTACAACAGTCGTCATCTCATCCACACCCATCTCGTGCATTTCAGCGTTTTTATGCTATGTAATTTATTCAGTAAGAAATTATCGGTTTTGCGCGAGAATAAAAAAAAAGAAAACGGTAAAAAAAATACGCAATAAAAGAAAAAGAAAAAAAAAATTTTTTTTTTATAAAAATCTCGCGAATATTTTAGAAAAAGATTAATTTAAAATAAAAAATTGCCAACGGCACGTAGTGTTCCCAAGCGGTCACCCATCCAAGTACTAACTACGCCCGACGTTGCTTAACTTCAGTGATCGGACGAGAACTGGTGTATTCAACGTGGTATGGTCGTTGGCGATAAACTCAAGCGCTATGAAGTTATTTAAACATGCGCTCAATCGTGTCGCTTAAAATTATAATTTGTTTGTTTCATCGAAACAACAGTAACCCGCAAAATATACAGGTGGTTTTTAAAAAAAGGTCCGGTTATGTTTCGTCGATTGAATTTATATGGTAGTTTTTAATTATAACTAACCAAATTCGCTTAAAATCGTAATTCGTTAACAATAATTTCTCGTTGATTACAGACATACGTTTATAATGTATGTATGCTACTTTCCCAACTGTTCGCCCATAACAGAGCAATCCCTCAGCAGTATCAGCTTTCCTTCTTTTTTTTTTTCACTGAACAATCCGTTGCCTCTAAAGCAAAAAGTGTAAATACAACACCACTCGGATAGGACCCTATAGCGCACGAGCCCCGTAATCTACTGTTGCGACATTAGCGACGACGTGTTTCATGTCAGGAATGTTATTTATTATATTTGTTTACTTCAAGTTCTGAGTGACTTCGGAGAGTAATATTACAAAAATTATACAATAAACACCTATAAGGTAATACTTGCTCGGAATTTTTCTTTTCAGCCCCGAGAGAGGGGTTCGGACCGGGCCCTCCCTCTGTAAGTACGCTATTGAACAATAGGGGAAGGGTTTGAAAGTCGAACTCGCGAACAGACACACCGTCGACACGTTTGACGCCGTGCACATACGAAATCGCGTCTTCCCGGCTTTATTTGGGGAGCGTGTAGGTGCGTACAAATGTAAAACGCGCTCTCTTCCCTCTATCCCGCGGTCAGGCGGAGTCCGGTATAAAACCCGACAGACTAAACGCTTCGTTTTAGAGCGTAAAAATACGCCGTGCAGCGGCGTACGGCGGCGCAACGACGACGGCCCGGGAAACCGTTGACGAGCCGCCAAAAACCGCGCGAATTCGTTCAAAATCGGAACGCGCGCGCGCGCATTACGCACGTACCCGTTACCGCGTTATTATTCGCTTCGCGGTACGTTATGCGTGACGGCGCTATGTCGTTTATCGCGTTTAAACGTTAATTGGCGACGATAACGACAACGGGTACGGCGCGCGCGCGCGCGCGCGATAGCCGCAGCGGTGTAATAACGCGCGGACGTAACGCGTGTGTACCGTACGTTTTATCCGGGCGGCCGTTTAATTTACACATTTATAATCGATGTTGTCGGTTCGCGAATGGGGCGGGCAGCCGTCCCGCGAGAAAAACCGTTGCGATTATCGTACGATTGGACGGCTTTCGCGCATAAATTATACTCGCGAAAGATTACGTACGCGCGCCCGCGTGTATGTGTGCGCGTGTGTGTGTGCGTGCGCGTGTGTGTGCGTGCGCGCGTGTGTGTGGACCGCGCGCAGGCGTCGCGCGATAAAGTTCATTAGCGGACCGAACTCGAACGCCACTCAATACCGCGCCAACGTAATATCGGCGTACATTATGCAAAACGCGGCGGAAATATTGTACGGGCACGCCGTACCGTAAGTATAAATTATGTATATATATATATATATATAAAAAACCCATACAATTGACGTGAGTGTCGGAAAAAAATCTACGCATAAATACGTTGTAAATACGAATGGGTATCCGATAAATAGCAAAAAAAAAAAAAACCGTTTCGATATTTTTAAAAGGTCACGGTGAATTTTGTTATTCTTCCTTTAAATTATTATCCAAATAAAAAAAAAAAAAAAAAAAAAAAAACCGTTTAATTTCGGGTACACGTGACGCGTCCCGAGACGAACGCACGGATTTTCGGCGGACAATATAATAATAATATTATTTTACTGTCCGGCGTCCGACATAAATTACAATCATACGAGCGGGTACCGCGCGTACGTACAGCGCGTACTGTAATACGCGATTCGGTGTATTTCATTTTTTATTAGTCGATCGGCCGTAATATACCGACATAATTGCCGAGTGCGAGCCGTGCATGTGTAATAATAATATTCGAACGAAACTGACAAATTTAATATTTTACTCGATAATGACCGCCGTTTAACGCAACTCTCTCTCTCTCTCTCTCTCTCTCACACTGAACAAAAGCGTTTCCCAACCTTTCCCGGACCGCATACGCACAGTGTCGATATCGAAAACGTGATTCGACACGTACGCGCGCGAACACGGAATCCGCGGATGGAAAATGAATACGCCCGCGCGCGCGAGACGCGCAGGCGTGTTGTCAATACACTACGATGTATCAATAATATCGATGTATGCGCGCGTGTTTATTATCCCGTGTTTTCGCGTTGTTCACGCGAAATAGGAAACACCAGTGTGCGGTGCACTCCACCTTGTTTGGGGGGGGGAAATTTTTTTTCGATTCGGCGTTTATAAGTCAACACAGGATCGCTTTCATCGCACGTCCGTTAAATCACTACAGGTATCTGTTTTTGTTCGCCATTACCGTAATGGTCAACGCGATTTCCGAGCTTGGCTTCACTTTTGAAATTCCCGCTTGGAAATACTGTTGCTCGGAGAGTTGCGCACATAGCAACTGCACGCGCGTCGTCGAATGACCATTCGCCACGCTAAATTTATTATTTCTTTATCTTTTGTGTAAACAAATTTTTTTGGCGGACCACCAACAACAGACCTGCGGACCACTGTACCGGTTCGGAACCACTGCAGCTCTACAATTTACTGCACTGCACTCGACGACGGTAATATTAACAAACGTTCTTTTTGTTTTTTTCGTTATACGAGTACACATGCAAAACTCGTTCAATTAAAAATAATATGTTTTTATAAATCCCAATCATGGCCTTCGCCGTAATACTCTACGGTAGCCGTTTTTATTATCGTCTGCGGTAAATATCAATGGGCGCAGTTAAATTAATTGCCATACCCCGCTCGTGTACGATAAATATCCGGGTTATCCGCGGATAAATCGTCCGTAATCCGGTACACGATTACAGACAATATGTCGTCAGACTGATTTTTAACGATGATATTGCGTAGAAATGTAGAAAATACACACTAATTTATTATTGCGATCACGGCATAACGCTTTTGTGCAGTGCTTGAATTGGAAAGATAAAAGAAGGGGCCGACTGTGAGACGTTTAAAAAAAATTTGCGTCCATTTCTTGAATGATTGTCTTCAACCTGATCCGCGGTGGGTTTCGTATAAAAAAAAAACAAAAACAAAAAGAGCTAATAGTGCTGATGGCTACTGCTGTAGATGAGAAGTAACAACTACTGTTGTTATTATGTAAGATGCATGTAGTTACATCATATTTGTCTGTACGCAACGATACGCGATTGCAAAGTACAGTTGAATACGTTTTAAAAAACCGATATTTTTGTAATCAGAATATCGAATACCTATACATAATATAATAATATACACCTATGTGTCAGTAAAAATGAGAAAAAACAAAATAAAATAATAAAATTGTTATTACGTAACATATTTGTCCGTTGTTTCCGGATTATTAAGAAAACCGCATTGGAAATCAATTCATTACGTTGCTTACGGGTAAAAAAACTAAAACAAACGCGTCACGGTAAAATCAATACATTCCTCGTTGCGTTCAGAATTTGAAAATTTCGATCACGATAAAGTAGCGTTTTTTCAAAAAGCGTTTCGAGTTGGGTTTTTAATGAAAATCATAAAAATCGAGACTTTTCTACGCGTATGTTAAACAGAACTTCGCTCAGAATCGTTTTTCGTTAACGACCGTAAACGCGCGTTGTGCTCAGATTTACAATGACAGCACTCGTTCTGAAAGGAAATCTGACTGAGGCGATACTCTAATGAGGTCATTTTTCGATTTTCCCGGGAGTTTTCCCAATAAATGTGAAAAATCGGTGAAACGCGGGGAAAAAAACGTGGGAAAAACGGAAAAACAGTCGCAGTATTAGAAAAAAAAAAAAAAAAAAAAACGCATATTATGCGATTGTTTTTTACCCGACGTGTATAATATTGTCGACAAAGCAACACTGTCCACCGAATAACCCGCTCAGGATCGTCTTTTCGTTAGCAATGTCGTTATTACCGTCGCTCACGGACGTACATCGAATTTTCCCTCTACCACACGCTCGCCCGACCGTCGCGTCCGTAACCGTGACCGCGCCCGTCCCCGTTATCCCAGGCCGACGAAACGCGCGAAATCGTGCACGTCACGCCCCCCCCTCTCCCCCTCCCCGTACAATATTACGACGTTCGCGGGCGGTTCCGGACGGTTTCGCCGGACGCGATATTATTGCAGTAAGCGTTCGGTAACGCGCGGTGATCACGATACGCGTAATGACGCGCGGCGTGGTGCGGGTATCCGTCGCGCCGGCGTTCCGCAATCGTCCGACGGCCCGGGGCACCGCGCCTCGGCGGCGGGCGCGTCATGACTCGTTTACACGACAATAACAATTGTTACCGTCGGCGGTATCCGCGGTATCCGCGGTATTCCCGGTAACCGCGGTCAGGAATGCCTCGTCGAAACCGCGGAACGATGACGCCGGCGGCGGCGTTACGTAACGCATTCATACGTGTAAACGCGCGTTGCGTGTACGCACGCGTGCAGTGTAAAGGCGCTGAACGGCGCCGAAAAATAGCGACGGGCCCGAACGTATTCGCGCGTTTCTCGTTCAACATGCGCGGCCGCGCGTCCCGTACAAATAATAGTAGCGTCGTACCTCGTATTACATTGTGTCGGGCGTGGCCTGCTGATTCCCGGTGCCGATAATACGGAATTTGAATATTTTGTCGATTTCGACCGATTATTCGCGTTTCGAAGTTTTCCGGTTGTAGACGAGAGGAGGCGTCGAGCGACGAGAACGTGTTGTGACCCGTACTCACTATACAATATCGTGTGTACTTCACTATGCGTACGACGCGCTCTTCGCTGTTAAAATGTAATAAACACCGTGAACCGACGACGACGGTTCGATGTTCCTCATATCGAACCGTCGTCATCTCTGTTGGCATTTAAAAAAAAAAAAAAAAAAATTAGTTAAAACTAATAAAAAACTTATAAAAAAAAAAAAATCATGTCCGACAAACCCAATCTTCGAGCGCGTCAAGTTCACGGTTTCTAAACGTGTTTAAAACTATCGACTATAAATACAATTTCGAAAAAATTCGGTAAACCCATTATTGTAAATTACGCATTTAGGCGTATGCGTAGAAACCTAAATAAATGAAACGATGGAGGTGCGATCGAGATTTTCCGGGACAAAAATTTGGTGGGCGGGTAGGCGGTTGGCATCACCGGAACTGAGCAGTTATGATTTTTTCAGTTGCCGTCGGATTCTGGATGACTTTTTGACGGACAAACTAATAATCCGTTTCAGGGGGGTGGGTGGGTTGAAAATATTGTACCGTCCCGCCAATTAAAATTGTCCGCGCCGCCGTCAAAATGAAATATCTTAATTATTCGTAAATGGTCGACTGGATATTTTTTTAAATTCTTAGAGTATATTTTAGTTAGTATTTTTTTTTTTTTTTTTTTTACATTGGTTAATATGAATTTATATTTAATGTTCATACTTAAATCGAAAAGTACACGGCAGACTGTAGAGACCGGTTCTCGGTTACTTATCTCGCCGCACTTAAAATAAACACCATTGTAAAACTACATTATGATAATTATCGTTTATTTTTTTTTTTTTTTTTTTTTATAGATTCTGAGCGAAACAAGAAGTGTATTGGTTGTGTGATAATAATATACAGATGAGCTGAACTACAGCACGATTCGGAAACAATTTTCGACTGATGGCGGTGGTGTACCTCGTTAAAATAATGTCATGGACGGGCGGGTGGTACATGCGCATCCTGTCGGTCTACACTACGACGAGTCGTCACCAGTAGGTAAAATATGATTTCTGACCTGCCGAACCTGCTGGTACTGTTTGTGTTTTTTTTTTTTTATTACTCGTAAACAATTTTTCATACCGAAAATCTTGTTCGAATCAAAAACTTTATTGGAATAATCGCGTAGCATTTTTGATCTATAGCTGTTAATTAGTTAGGTCAAGTTTTGATTTTCTTTGTATAATTTTGTTAAAATAAAATGGGACAAACTGCGTAGTTTTTGTGTAGGCACATCTTGGTTATCTTCCGATTTTCCTCCTATGAACCAGTGACACACCCATCAACAGGCTAATACTGTTTGTGTAATACAGTCAAATCAATTATTGTTATGTTTTTGTAAATAAAATAATAAAAATAACGTTACGAATTTGTTGACTAAATCAACAACCGTACACAACTTATGTTTAGAAACCTGAATAAGAGCCGATACTTCTGACAGGTATGCCACGGTTTTGAGAAGATAGAATACAATGAGTTTTTAAATTTATATCAGTACGCAACGATAAATCATTGCTAACCAAATACGATGCGAAGTTAATCATGTTTCAAAATACTGTGATTTTTACGATAAAATTTGAATTTAAAGAGCTTATAAAAAAACTTGCTACAGTACACTTAACTGTTTTTTTTTTTTTAACCACTAATCAAAACCTTACAACAAGACGAATCTCCTGTCAAATTATCAAACATTTTCGCTAGACCAAAACCGTTTTATTCATTTAAAACCGAATAAAAAAACTCGAAAATGTCAGATGCTTAAAAACAGCTCACAAATGCTTCACAGGAATATTCTTAACGTTTTACCACTTCTAAAAACGGGCAAATTTAAGTGCGCTGTGAATATTTCAAGTCTCTACCGTATTATTTTTAACCGTATTCAGACAATCCGGATTTTTCCCACAGTCACTACAATACATACTAGCCCTAGTTCGGCGTATAGAACCGTGTACCAAAAGGCGTCTATCTTCAAAAATCCCAGGGGGGGGAAACAATGTGTTTTTTTTTAATTGTATTTTTCAACGATATTGAACTTTTTGTTGAACTGTTTACGTACGTCGTACGCGAGTACGGAAAAACCAGCAGGAGTACGTTCCCCGTGACCCCCCCACCCTTATTGTACGCTCACGCTTTGCGATATAGGTACTTTAGGTACCTACTTAATGCCCGCTGTAATACGGTTAAATCGGGTTTTTTTTTCCAACAATAATTACTCCTTATACGAATTATTATTATTACGGTCACATTGCGGCGGCCGTCGATTGTTCGCGTGTACGACTCCACACACTCGCTGTACAGCCGTTCGGATTCGATTCGAAATGTTCACGTAGTCGCTGGGCGTGCGAGTTTGTAATATATCGAGCACTTGCACGTGTGTATGGTGTATCATTATTTTAATGATCGGTCAAGTATGGAAAAAACTAATAAAAATGGATCAAATCAAACTGCGGGACGGAACGCACTAACTGGAATACGGTTACCGTGTTTGGCGATTAAAAAAAAATAAAATAAAATAAATTACATGTAAAACAAATAATAAACGATTTGGAGAGCTGCGCATATAAATTATATACGTACGTTTGTTCTGTAAACCGCTTGTAATCGTTTGTGCACTTGTTTTTTATTACATTATGCAACCTGTCAATGAATGTCAAAGTACTATTTTAAAAAAAGACGTTCTAGGATGATTGGGACGGGTGCAGCCGCTATTATAGATAATTTCATGTATACCTGTAAGCAACGATAAACCATTGCTTACGAAAGAAAAACGATTCTGAGCGGATTTCAGTTGATAGTGATGCTTTGTCAACATACAAAACAAAATAATTAAAATTATATTATAATATTTATTTAACACTCATAAATTTGAGTTGCAATAAATATTATTTTATCTCGGTATTATAATATTTGATTTCATTCCCAAGCCTTGCATGTAAATCATATTCCTCAACGTTTATCATTCAAATCAACAATGTTACGCTTCTTCAATCGCACAAGTAAATCTCTGCAGAGTTCCTCCACACCGTTCCTTTATTCTCTTTCACATCGCTAATTTTCCTCCCAACTTTCTAATTAATGGCCCCCTGCCCCTCGTGTTTCGTACACCTCGTTCCGCCAACTTTGACCCTTCGTTCTCTTTCCGTCAAATTAAATTGTATATTGTCGTTATTTTATTGCTTATACACCTTTAATCTGTGCTATAATACTGTTAATGGACCTATATAGTCCGTTGATGTTTATGAAAAATAAATGCAGCGATGGTGGTCGCTGGGGTTATCGAAGTTACTTCGACCTCGGTAGACAAAAGAGGGGGAAAAAAAAAAAAGCAGAAAAACATCCGATTTTTCATATTATTACATACATTGAGAAAAACCGGACCATGTATTACTGTGTCCGGCGATTTATATGGACAAAGTGACCAATTGGCTGACGTACAGCCGGAAAATGATTTAAACTGTGCCGTACGTCGCCCGCTAAAAAGTGTCGAACGGACGGTGCCGGGCACACGGACCTAAACCGTATCGCGAGACGACCGATTTCCTCCATTGCCGGCAACAGCATATTATACGCATCGGTTATGCTCGTAAAATACATACCCGCCTACCTACATAGAGCCCGTGTTATACACTTATAACGATTTACGATGCTATTATATTGTCCGGGGATCGGAGAAAACGGTTCTATAATAACAACATAAGCGGTCTGATATTATAACGATATCGGACGGCGGTATATAACTAGGCGGGTAATAGTAGTAATAATAATAATAATAATATTATAATGTTATTATAGCACGGGGATTGCGGGTACGCGATGATGTTAGAATTTCGTTGTGGTCAAAGAGGTTTTCTTGTACCTATATAGATTCACACCTGGCCGCGGTATCCGCGGTTATAACGCGGCGAACGTGTTGAACACGCGCGGGTATCCGGTATTATCGAAAGTGATTGATGGACGGGGCGGGGTACTCGACTGGTTGTGCCGCGTCAAATAATCGTTTCTGATCGGTTAGGCTTATCACGGTGTAATATATTATACACATCATAGACATACATTTCGCATCGTTTACCTTGCGGTTAGCGCTGGAATCGTCTTATCGGCCGTTCCGTAAATACCGTCATCACGAAAAGCTAATGTACGAATATTAATCCAACAAGTTCATTACACGCCACTCGGATCGGTTTAAGAGGTTGAATTTGTCGCGTTTGTCTTTCTAACTGGCAATATATGTGTAGCGAAAACGAAAAACAAAAGACGTCCTGGGATATTGGGATCGAGTACAGCCGCTGTTGTAAGTAGTTTAATGTACACCTATCAGCAACCATAATACATTGCTAACGAAAAAACGATTCTAAGCGGAGTTTAGTTGATAGTGCTGATTTGTCAACGGTATATATGTCATATTATGATAAAATTCCAAAATTAAAATGGATCTCGTTTTTCCTCTGTTTTTTTCGATTTTTCAGATTTCTTGAAAAAACTCTGCGGTAAATCGAAAAATGATCTTCTTAAATTACCTCCACACACCGATTTCCTTTCAGAAAGGATGTTACGCATACAAATTGGAGCAAGATGGAAAATTTGGTAGAAAATTTGTCCACAAAACAAAAAAAAAAAAAACTAAAAAACATATTTGTAAAATCATAAGAGCTTCTTCGCTACACTTAGATTTTAAACTACGAAAAAACATTCTCAAACGATTTTAGAGATACACGTCCGTCGTGAAACGCGTGTGGATTACGACATTTCGAGTACAAACTCGTTTTTAAATAATAATAGGTAAATAACAAAAAATGTAAAAGACGATTTTTCGTTATCATCGATAATGAGTATTTATATAGAGAATTGTAAAACTCCGACGAGATTATTGTTTTCAAAATTATTATTCGATCTGAATAACTGGTAATTTAAAGTATGTGTAAGGAATGGAGGTAAAAAAATGAAAAACAATTGACAAATAAAGCTTAACATAATGATAGCAAAATAAAACGGATAACCGACTTAAAATCCTCCGAGAATTTATCTGGTTAGTGAAAACTGGAGCGCTCTGTATATTTCTACTTGCAGTCGCTAAAAGATCGTTAACACTTCTGCGGCTGCAATTCGTGGTCGACGATCGGACAAATTGACCAGGAGGGTGGAAAGAGAAATCTCTCGAAAACGTATTACAAGTGCAACACTTCGGGGGATTATAGTATGAAAGCGTGCACTAGTAAAATAGAAACAAAGGAAATCGTATACATAAGAACATACACAATAATAATAATTGTTGAAACGCGTTCGATTTGTAAACGACAACACAATATATGGACGTTTCGGCCGCGATAAAGGAATATTAATTAAACGGAACAATATAATCATTAACAATGTTATAACCTATATAACTTCCGGTAAATGATTACGTTTTCGTCAAGCCGAAATAAAAAACATACGATTATTTTAGGACTTATAACAAAAATAATTATAACAATAGAACAATTTACAGATTTAGCATCGCTTTTATCAACAATATGTGTTGGGTAAAATTAATAATAATAATAATAATTCATTTAATTTCATTTATTTTCATACGTAATATACTTACATAATTAAAAATTACAAAAAGTCGTTGGATGGTGATGTCTTCAAAAACAAAACTTCAGAGTTCTATACATCAATATAAACCAATTTATAACTAAACTTGATCAAAAGTAAGAATATACAACGAAAGAGTAAAAATTAAAACGTAAGAATGTCTAGAAAAAATATATAGCAACCACAAAAAGCTAAAAAATAATAACAATGATACATAATAGTACCTTACAAAACAAAAAATAAAAAATACATACTTCGCACGTGGACGCAGTCACTGTTGTAGATAGGACGTTGGGAAGGTAGGATACAGACGGGAATTTCATGTATATCCGTAAGCAACGATAAACCAAAGATACCGAAAAAACGATTCTGAGGGTAGTTCAATTGACAGTGTTGCTTTGTCAGCAATACATATATCATATTATGGTAAAATGATTACAACAATGTGCGTTGCCACGACAACAATGATTGTTTAAAAAAGATTCAAAAATTAATAAAAACTTAATAACAATAAATAAATAAAAACGGTCGCCAGTGACAACATTATTTTTGATCTTTCGATCTGTTTTAACCGAAAGAACCAGGTTTTCATCATTATCTCGAATATTAATGAGAATTTCCAAAAATGACCGCCCAAAGAGTAACACTCAGAAAACGTAATTTGTTTTCTGGAAAACGGTTGCACTTCGGAAAATCGGAGTGAGATTTTTCTGGTCGTTTACAGACCAAAAGAAAAATAAAATAAAAACACGATTCATATAGTTAAATCACGTCTCGCCGGGCTCAGGATTTAAAAACGGAGAGCGTGGAAATTTTCTGACCATTTTCTTCGCGATGTACTACAAGACGTTGTGCGTCTGTAACATTCCGTTCGGCAACACTTTGACGGCTTTCGTCGTTGTAACGTCACAACAGGAGTAATAAAAATACGTTTAATGTTCGATGATGAAACCGATAAATA